CCAATCGTCATACTTGGCTCGTTTTGGGATTGACCAAGTCAGGTTTGGGACTTCTGTAGAACAATGAGGTGTGAGAAAGTGCATTAACAACACATTAAAAATAAATGGGTGCTCAAAAAAAAAATCTCAAGTGCCTGACCTGCATCCTTGCTCAGACCGCCTCCACACACTCACACAGTACTCAAAGGACAGGCTGAAACTACAGCATCAGAGATAGAGAACAGACGAGGGAACTAGGAGACATCATCTTTGTGAAAGCTCAGAGGATAAATAACTCAGGTAAGCAGAACAGTGAGTAATCCACATTAAACCAGGCAAAGTGTCTGAGGTGTGTTTAAATACTGTGGTGATGAGTGTGCTGATCAGGTGCAGGTGAGGATGATGGCTGGGTAATTAAGTGCAGGTGATGAGCAGGAGGAATTCTGGGAATTGCAGTTTTGAGTGATATGTAAACTTGTCTAGCCTTGGCTGGACCATGGCTTTGTTCTAAACCACATACTCATTGGGTAGGTACTTATTTCCAATTAACTTGATGAGTGCTAAAAGTGTAGGTACTTTATAGCCTGATCACATTAAGTATAAATGATATCTGGACATCTGCCATGTTGACGTTATCCCAAGCGCAACAACTTAAAAGATATGAGCGACGGGTTTAATTCATGTATCTGTAAATATCTTGATATTGATGAAACTTGCTCTTGTGAAACTTTGTGGTTTTGTTGAAGAATCAAGTGTCCATTTATTTTGTGATTGTACCATAACCAATACATTTATGGTTATTTTAAGTTCTTATATTTTTAACCCTACTAATGTGACCCACAGTTTTATCTTTAAAGATTTAGAGACAAAACCCTTTCAAATAAATTTAAATAATTATATAGTATATAGATATAGGAAATACCATTAATATAAAACTTTAATAGCTCTTGTCTGTAGGCTATAATTTTCCTCCCATAGAACGTTTATTATTAATTAACCCCTTGAGTTCTCCTTGTCCGAACTCTGTTGAGTTCCTCCACACTCCTCAGCGTTGGACATGGCGGAGCGTCTGGTGCTCGGCCTATCACTCGTCAGCAGTGTGGAACCTGTGTTAGGCTGGGTCTATATGTTGCGATGCCTAACGGTGATCCCATATGTGTATTCTTCCACGGTACAGCTCCCTGTGGCGAGTCTGTGTCTTTCGCTGTCATTCTGCCATCACTGTTCGGTGTTCCCAGTGTTATCCAAGTCTAACTGAGTGGGTCTTGTGAAACAGCATTGAATTCTTGGCCTAAGCCTCTTCTGCTAAAAATGTCAGGAGGATCACGATGCTTTTGTCTAGGCACTGGAAGGTGGCAGCTTTAGTGGCATCTACGTCCGTATTTAAACCCGCGCCGCGGGGTGGAGTGTGAGATGCATATCTCGCACGCCAATGTGCATTGGCTTGTTTTAAAAAAGGCTGCCTAGCGTGATCCCATTCCAGTCGACGTCGACTACATCCTCTGTTCCCTCCTTTTCAAGGGATACGCATACGCAACCAGGAGTGCTCGCGGCAGTGGAGCGTTTTTATGATTTCCACTCTGGAGGGTGGTTTCAATTTTTTGCGTTTTTAAGCCCAAAAAACGCTGTCGCCATGTAAACGAAAGGCACATCCAATAAAATATTTTTACGTTTTCACCTGCGAGCGTTCTCGTGTAAACAGTGCCTGAGATGCACTTTGCCTCGCCTGAAATGTAGTCTAGAGTAGGCGGCTGCAATGAGGGGAGGAGTTAAAAAACTGCAGGCAAGCCGGACAGATCTCCTTCTTGCAGTGAATCAGACACCTGTGAGATCAATGATATCGCGGGATTCACACCCGTGAACGGTGTTGCTAATAAACTGGATGTAATTTCAGTTCTGTTGCTTTTATAAGAAAATAAATATAAATTAACAAGACACCCAAAGTACTTGTTATTAATTACATCAATCTTTTTTTATATATATACAAATTATATGACATAACCCATATCACACTGTGCTAGAGTTTATTGACACATAACATACGCCTACACATAAAAACATGACATCAGAGTTTTAAAATCAAACATTTTAAAAGAGAACAATACATCACAGTTGTTTAAACCAATGAGCATTGAGCGGTGTCGTCAGCAAGTCGATTCCCATCGTGCGTTTGATCAGCGCGGTCGGTGGAGAGCAACTTTGCGCGACTCCGACACTTCCGCCTTGCGCTCGCAAGAGTTTTTCGACATACGTCGGCATGACATCAGAGCCAGGCGGACCGTTCTCGGACACATTTCTAACCGGCGTGCTTCTCGCGCGATCACCGGTGATCGGTTCTGTGCAGATTTTTCTCATCTCAAACAAGCCAAACGATGACATAAGTTTAGTCATGTGATCTATGTTGTACCAATAATAGATATTCATGTTTACTGGTTTTGTGCCTGTTATGTGCTAATCACTTTTACACTGCTGCTAAAATGTTACTTCACACACTCTTCGTATCACAGTCCTGCGCAGATGACAGAACATGTTCACATGTCCACTCACATTTGCTGCCCCGCGGCAACAGCGGAGAGCAGTCGCGTTTTAGACCAAACATGGCGACTGAGTGCGACCTGGACAGTGGCGCAAAAAGTGGGTATGCGCTATATGCGGCGCATAGGGGCGCAGCACAATGGGGGGCGCCAAAGCGATGGTAAAAAAAAAAAAAAAAAAAAAATTATGTATAGGCTATATTGTATTTCTATATGTACCTGCCGTTGTCCGTTTCTAAATCATTTCTGCATTCCTTCAATGTTATATAAAATTTTAGAGGACTAACAGCCAGACTAGAGTAGGCGCCCTCATGGAGAAGGGGGGCGGGTAATATCGCGAGCGGGCGGGGGCGCCGTGAGCTCTGAGCGAGCAGGTACGAGTAGTGAGTTGTCGTCGAAAAAGATGGATAAAACAAAATGCTGTGGGGCTAAAAATAGAAAAAGAAAGAGAGAAAAGGAGATGGCATGTCAATTGATGCAACAGCAGCTAAATAACTGCATGCATTGCTGAAAGCCAACAGGTAGGATTTAAAATATGACATCCAGGCATAGGCTATCTATATCTCGGTGGCCATCGGGACTACCGTGAGATTCCCGCTGGGCCGACGTGCTTTTCCTTTTTTAATTTATTTGTCTTAACGGCCCACAAAACTCATACATCGGCGGCCCATTTGTTTGTTTGTTGTTTGTTTTTGTTTTGTTTTTTGCTTAATTGGCGGCGCTGTGCTGGTGTAATGCATTGGTCAAAAAAGTCAGCTTTAGTGTTTTTTTCTGACACACTGGCCCATGAAATATGTCATTATGCGCAAGTATCTTTCAAGTATAGAAATTAGTGCAAAACTAATTATGAAAGTTTCCTTTATTTTTCTGTGCATTTGTTTTACAATAGCCTTAATGGCTATTACTATCATGGGATTAATATTATAACTATTATTATGTAGTAGTGTAATGTAGACAGACACTAACTAAAAGAGGTTCAAATTTTTCTCTGTTTAATTTGCACCCTGAATATGGGTTGGAGCTTTTAATTTTGAACTCTCAAAGTGCACCAGACTGCTGAATTTAACATTACAGAACACAAAATTTTCTTACGGGGGAGCATGCCCCCGAACCCCCCTAGAGAAACAGAGGTCCACCTACCACAGTTTTACCTAAAATCCTGTGAGAAACACTGGTATTGCTGTTACAATGGAGCTTAGTTTTCTTAGGGGGGGTTCATCAAGGTGGAGTAGCTATAGTTTAATTGTGTTAATAAACGACAATTTTGCACTTATTTTTTTCTGTTAGCTCTCATTTCTTCCTACTCAGTTATTACATAGCACACTTACATTACATTTATTTAATTTTTTCTTTTTTGGGGGGGGGGCGCTAAAATTGTTGCTGCATACCCCTCTGAAACTGGGTAGTTGCGCCCCTGGACCTGGAAACATCACTGATGGGGAAATAAAATTATCCTGTTTGAAGAATTGCTTGATAGCGTTATTATTTATTTTCCCACCTGTATCATCTCGGTGAGCTTCTGTGAGGTTTCACACACGTGCAGTAAGGTGAATTTAGGAGTTTCTCATCCACACTGAAACGTTGGAAAACGCCTGAAAACGCTAGTGTGGACGCAGTTTTAAAATATATCTGGATTATTGTGGACATAGCCTTAGTGTCTACCCATTTTGAGCTTCTTTGCCAGATTATTGCTAGCCGCTCCAGGCTTGTGGAGGTGTTTCTCTTCTAACCCTACATGTAAGCGGGTCATTAATTTCGTCGTCTCGTGTTGGAATAAGCTGATTTCTGTCCAGTACCTGCCGTCCCTCTGCTCACTATCCGTCCATCGACTGGGGCTGTTTACCTCCATCCATCGCCATTACCTCTCTGCTTCTGGTGTGAGACCTCTTTCCAGGACTAAGAACTATTCCTGAGAACATTATTCCTGAGTTCACCTCCAGTTCCACAATCAAGTCCTTATTTTCTCCTGTGAACGGCAGGCTGCCTAAGTTCTTTTGAGACTGAATAAATTCTGTTATCCCACACTTCTTGCATTTGGGTCCTCTCTACGATCTCTGACAAAAGCAACTGGATTACACTGAACACAGAATACTTTTAACTAAAATAACATGACAGACAAATAACTGAATTATTTGCACACATCAGTATTTGTCAAGAAACAAATAAATCAATAATAGAAATATTGATTTCTTACATTTACACTGCTTTAAAAATATATTGAAACTGATTCTAATTAATGGAAGTGGCCAAAAATGTGGTCTGTTCGTCATACAAATCTTATCGTAGGATTGTAGTCTTATGGACTACATTTATGTTACTTTTATGGTGAATTTTTGTTTTGGTCCATTTAGGAGCTCAACAGACCCTGGTGACTGTCTGCTTTCATTATATCATATGAAAAAGAGCAGCATAAACATTCTGATAAACCTTAATTTTCATTCCTTCATAAGGGTTTGGAAAAACAAGGGTGAATAAATGCCAGAATTGTCATTCTTTACTGAACAACTGGTTTCTTTATTGTTAATAAAAGGTATAATTTAGTGAAATTACATAATGTTATTGTACTTGGTTAAAATTAAACGTTTTGAAGAGGTGTTGATGTGTTTCTTGATGCAATCTCTAAATTTGTATTGACAGTAAAAGTATGAAGTATGTTGTCCTACAATGTGTGCTTTTTCCATGACTAGAGGGTATATAAAGAAACAGTGTAGTGGTGGTTCACAAAGATCCAATAAGATGATTTTGATTAGTCAGTGACGAACTGAAGAAACAGCACAGCCAATGACACAGCAATTACCCAGAATGCACCTCTATCCAGAGCTGAAACAGAGAAGAACAAACATACTTTGACATGTGCTGTGTCAGGCTTTGCACACAGGTCTGTGCACTATTCGTATATATGCGTGTAAAACCCTTACTGTGAGAAGAAGTGTGGCTAGCGGAGGGCTTAGCGACTGGTACAGCAGTCAGGCTCGGTATAGCAGTCGTAGAGCTGGTTTCTGTGGCTTTTATGAGTCTAACAGGCCCTGAACGGATAGTGTAGTTGTGGGTCTGAATGCTGTTTACTAGAGCCTTGTCTGTCGTTTCCGTACATGGATCAGGACATCTCTGGGTTTGTTTGGTGGAAACACAAAGGTGCACCAGACACTCGACATACATCTAGACAGACAAATGAACAGAGTTTAACAACAGACATGTCAGAAGGATCCACCTGTACATAGAATGTACTTAAAGAGGTTATCAAGCAAATTGAGAACACAGATAATGAAACATACAGTGTCTCCCATTATACCCAGAGAACCGAGATATAAGCGGTAAATCCGAACAGTGGAAATTGACGTCAAGATCTCAAAGGTTCCATTTCCAGGTGCGCAGCTGAAAGAGAGAGCCGGGTGAACAGATTTAGGATGGAAAGAGAAAGGGTCTAGTCAAAAAAAACATGAAACAAGATGAGAGGTATTAAAGGGAGATGCTATTAAATCTGAATTATCTTCATTTGAGATTCCACCAATTATATCACAAAAACAGTTGAGTAAGAATGAGAAGTGCCCTGAATCTTATAACATAACCTATAATTTAGCTTTCTACAATTACACTTTAAAAGAACAAAAGTCTTTTGTTACAATCATGTGTTTATAAAATTTGGTACAGATTGAGACGAATGCCATCAGTGTAAGTCAATGTAAATGAAATTCAGGGGCATATCATCTAAACGGCACATCTACCTCTCAATCTTTTGGGTGGAAGAAGAAAAGGAGTGAATGCTGCTGGTCCAGGTGCTGCCACATTGCCAGGGTGGTTGCCAGGGTGTTGCTATGCAGTTGCAAAAGGTTTCTAAGAGTTTTTTAGTGTGCTGCTATGCACCTTTAAGGGTGTTGTGTGTGGTTGCATACAGGCCCAAAGTAAGTCTTTGTGATATTTTTGGGTCAGTCGTTCTGAGAACTTGTTAAAATAAACAACTCTAATAACTATTAGCAGTAGAAGTAGTTTGAGCAACAAACTCAGTCTTTGTCAGGGCCAATGTTGATACTAACCCGTGGTTCAGCAGAGGCCGTGAGTTTGCAAAGTCTTGTGTGTCTGACTCAACACAGCGGCCCACCATGAGCTCCGCATGGGCCAGTGAGCAGTTGGAGAACACATGCAGGTCCAGCGTATCCATCCTGCCTGCAGACCGCAGCTCTCGAGCCGCACGCACCGGTGGCAAACTGCGGATGCGCGGCAGACGCGTCTCAGCGGCCATAGGGCCCTCTCCGGGGAAGTGGAACTCAATCCAGAAGGACACTGCACCAAACGTCTCCACTTCGGACGGTGTGGAGATTTTAAAAGCTGGAGCTTTGGCTTGTTGGCCGGGAATCCGGCAGGCGAGTGGGAGAATGAGAGTGCCAGCACGGCTTATAGTGGAGTTAGGATTGATGCTGCGTAAAGTGTTGGTGTACAGCAATTCTGAACCTAAATGCTGAAAAATATCAAAGATGAAATACCAATGAAATCAAATTAAAATGAAATATTTAAAAGCACCACCACTCACACCTTACGTCGTTCCTATAATTTCTTCAACTCTCACCATTTTTTTAAGAGTTTAATTTCTCTGCTGTACTCCAAGAAATATATAAACATATATTTTAGTTAATTTGTTTTTTCTGTCATTTTTTCTTTTAAAGGGCACCTATTATGCACCTTTTTACAAGATGTAATATTGGTCTCGGGTGTCCCCAGAATGTATTTGTGAAGTTTCAGCTCAAAATACCCCACAGTTCATTTATTATAACCATTTGAAAATGTCATTTTGGGCCCTGTTTAAAAATGAGCTGTTTCGTGTGTATACCACCTTAAATGCAAATGAGCTGCATTAGTAACAGCTCATAATGTAACAGCTCATAATGCAAATGAGCTGTTACTGGAGGTGACGGTGGATCGCAAACAGTAGACGACGATCCACACTTGAGGATTAACTTTTAAGCCACAACAACAGGATTAACCCACGACAGAACATTTATGTTTCCAAGAGACATTACCGGCTGTCGTTGAAACACAAATGTACAAAAAAACAAATGTACCGAATAAACTGGTGTTATTGCTATAAATCTATAAAGACACTAATAACTACATCTACAGTATCTACCAAGTGAGAACTTTTGCTACCATTCTCTTGGTTCCACAGCCCGTCAGAGAGAAGGTGGTGGTCACATGGGTTGTGTTGTAAAACACTGGGCATGCCGGATCATTCAGCTGGAGGTCCGAGACATGAAGCTTCTCCAGGAAGGACATGGGCAGCACTAGAGTCATCTGAAGCTCCCGCTCCTTACATTTCAACTCTGACAGGCAAATAGACATAAGAAATGCTCTTACATTTGAAACAAAATGAGGATGAGACGGGCTTATGACAAGTTAGTGGACGCTTTCGAAGACAGGCCTGTGCTCATGCAGTTTTATACATATGAGACAGGTAGATTTGCTAGTGCATATAAGTTTTCAGTTTTTTGTGTCATAGATTGTGATGAGTTCAGGTTTTAGTCTTCAGTTCTGTTCAAATAAAAAACAAATTATGACTGAAAGAAAGCCGTGAGCACAAACCAATGAAGAAAAAACAGAAAGCAAAAAGATTTAAGAAAGATCATCAATCCACCATGGAAACATTGCACATCATTTGCTGCAGGTCATATTTTTTATCTGTCAAAAATCAGAAATAGAGAGCACATCTGTAGTGTATTGTGATGTATACACTGATAAAAGCATTATGTTTAGGTTCCAGTGTTTTTTGCTTGTGCTGTTGTGTGAAAGTTTAGTGTCTGTGTGCTCTTTAATGAAGGTGTAATTGGTTTCCTTATGGATGTCTGTCAGTGTTACTGTACGTATTAGATAAGGAATACTACAACATCTGAGGTGTACAGTATCTATAAAACAAATGGAGTCTGCATTGAATAAAGCGCTGTAGAAATGAAGGTGACTTCAGTTGCACATTAAGGAGTGCAGGCTGAAAACAATAGCTGGGTTTCCTATGACGTCACGCCACTGCGTTGCCATGGCGCGAAATGCAAATGGAGGGCAGGAAGTGATTTGCTCTATTTAGAAAGCACTATAACAAACTCAAAATGCCTGTGTTTTGCGTCGTTGAAGGTTACTTAAATCGATCAAACCACGAGGAGTTTTTATCGTGTGCCAAAAGTTGTTGCTCATAAGGGGGGAGAATGCAAGAAAAATCTCAATTGAGTTGAAAAATCGCTCCTCTTCATAAAATAAGGATCACATCCAACATTAGTTTGACTTTGTTTATATCTTTCTCTTGTAATAGCTTGTAAAGTAATACAGTACGGACTTTCCTCCATCTCGTGCAAAACTGCACTCTTCACTCCCTGAATTTTGCACATCATCATAATCACATGACCAAATCCAGCTATTGAGGAATATTGTAGTGCTGCCATTCAAACAAAGGAATTATTACCTGTTCCTGGTGGCAAAGGATCTGTTCGTGCTGAAAGAGAGTGATATTAGATTATAAAGATTATAGGCATATGACCACCCGGAAAACATGGAAAGGGACTACATCAGTCTTACTTTGTTGCAGCCATATACACCTGATGCGAGACTGCAGGCTGTGAAACAAACAGAAGAGAGTTTTCAGCAGTGAATTGGTTTTATGAAGTATTGGGGTTGACTCCTTCAGTGAGCTCCTTGCTACCTCTGAGTGTTTGCAGCAAAACAGATGGATAGCAGGTGAGCAAACTGGTTAGGTCCTCGGACCCAGGACAGGGCGACGGAGCTCTGGGAATTCCTGCCTGTTTCCATTGGGGAGACGAAGAGGCCTGGAGGACCAATCACCGCGATTTCAGACACACTGCAATGACAAACAAAATTAAAACTGCAAGCAGCATTTATCGGTGTTCAAGCAGTTCAGACCTTTAAGGCCTTTAAGCACAAAATAATAATTCTAATTCGCTTTTCTCAGCACTCAAAGCGCTATACATAGAGAGGGGAATCTCCTCAACCACCACCAGTGTGCAGCTCCACCTGGATGATGATGCGGCGGCAGCCATAGTGCGCCAGAACGCCCACCACACACCAGCTTACTGGTGGAGAGGAGACAGTGATGAAGCCAATTGGTGTATATATGGGGATGATTAGGAGGCCATGATGGACAGAGGCCACTGGGCAAATTTGGCCAGGATGCCGGGGTTACACCCCTACTCTTTCGAAAGGCATCCTGGGATGTTTAATGACCACAGATAGTCAGGACCTCGGTTTAACGTCTCATCCGAAGGACGGTGCTCTTTGACAGTATAGTGTCCCCATTACTATACTGGGGCATTAGGACCCACACAGACCACAGGGTGAGCGCCCCCTGCTGGCCTCACTAACACCTCTTCCAGCAGCAACCTGGCTTTCTCAGAAGGTCTCCCATCCAGGTACTAACCAGCCTCAGCCCTGCTTAGCTTCAGTCGGCAACCAGTCTTGGGCTACAGGGTGATTTGGCTGCTGGCCATAAAAGCCATTCAGTTTTATTGTACTCTTTGACAATCTCTATAGGTTTTCCGTGAATAGCAGTAGGTACCGCCATAACCTGCGTCTGCTTATTAGAAAAGGATACCACTCTCTCTTTAGTCTTATTCAAGTTAAAGAGCACCTATCATGGATTTTTGAAAATGACTGTTCATGTAGTGTGGAATATAGCTCTAAGGGAATGAAAAACATCCTGCAAAGATTTATATCTGAAAGTGCACCGTATATAAAGTTATTGTCGTTCAAAAGTGAGAGTCGACTCTGAGTCAATGAAATGAATTGTTTTTTAAACGAGTCATTAGCTGTTACATCGTGATGTAGAGAGGTCATTGGCTGCTCCCAACAACTGCGCACGCAGACGGAAGTGTAAACTTGAAGTGACGTCTAGAACACATTCAAATACTCCAGCTGAATCGCGTCATGTCGAGGAGACGCTGTGCTCTACATTGCAAAGACAGTTCAGCCACTTGTTTCCATTGTCCAGGGACGAGCATGTGAAGAATCAGTGGTCAGAGTTCATATTTGCATCGCCCGAACCTTGTGTTCTCATCATTTTAATGACGAATCATTCAAAATTCAAAAACCTAAATGAATTCAAATATGGATTCGCAAGCCGGTTGTTCCCGAAGGAGGGCTCAGTATCCAGTGTATATGGATCAGGTTCGTCCTCCTTCGAATCACAATCTGTAAGTATTATTAATAATGTTTGCTGTTATGTTTTCTGTAGCATGCACACTATAGTTATTTTGTGTTGTGTGCATTGTGTCCGCGCAGCTTCTAAGCGGGGTAAAGTTATTTTTGTTTTTGATATTCACCAGACATTCATTGAAAAATGGCCTCTAGTTTGCACTCCAACTGGATTTCAACATGCAGAAGAAAGATATCCATACCGGTTTGGACAGCAGGAGGTCGAGTATATGACTGCATTTTCATTTTTATGCTCAATAAGGCATATTTGAAATAAGAATGACATTCCTTTCTAATGAAATTTTTATTTGGGGTAAATTTATTTGAGCATGAAACGGTACACGACTCAAATATGACTGTCCTGTCTGCGTACCTTGAGTCCACAGTAATACTGAGCTGGACTTCTCCAAAGGGCAGGACGTGGATCACAGCGCCCCCTGCTGGACTCACTCCCGTGAACTCCGGCACAGTGGAGCAGTCGGCTCTGCTTTCAACTGCAATAACACACAACCAAGAAATCTGTAGTAGCACACAGTAAAACTGCCTACAAATGTGCATGGTACATGGTGCATTGTGTACAGGGCTCGACATCAACACCCACCAAACCCGAACTTCAGCTGTTGTGTGCAACGCAGCCACTGCTACTAGCCTCTTGCATTTTTCCATTTTATATAATATACATTTTCCAATAGTAGTCTTCTAAAAAGGCATCTGAAATAATAAAAACGAAGTGCTGTGTAGTGTTGTCTAAAACTCTTCCGCAGGATACACAAAACAAGCTGTGTAATCTCTCCGACAGAGAGTGACACACGAACCCGCCTTCCCTCACTCACTTGCTTCGTTTGGTCTGGCGGATGAATATTGTTGGCATTGCAGGGCTTGAATTTCAGCGTGGGACTGCACATATTGAGCATCATTTTACTCATTCCCGCAGACTCACACCCAAAGGCTATATAAAACAGTAAAATGGGTCTGTGCGTCAGGCCTTAGAAGGGCAGGAGCCTTATGTACCAGATGCCAAATTAATATTATATTAAAGATAATATTAAAAATATCTATATGGCCGTTATTCCTTATGTTATTGATGTCTAAATTGAGGCCAGTGAAAATGCTGAGTGGATAGTGACTTACATAGTGGATAGTGATTTTGTAACTTTGGAAAACCACTAGCCTAAGTGGCCGGTGAGCAAAAAAAAATGTATGTTAAGTCAAGCCCTGCTTGTGTACAAACACAAATCTAACTATATTATCTAATGTTGTATCTATATATTTTATGTAAAAACCTTTTGATCCTTTTGAAGGAACTTCTTCAGTGCTGTGTAATGAAGTTGGCTGAGAGAACGTACAGTGTTCAGAGCTGGAATCTGGGAAAATACTCTAAAAATTTGATTTGACATAATTTAGAATTTATTACATTTCAATATCAATACTTCAATTTGTGTTATGGAAGACAAGGGATTATTTCATTCCTTCTATTATTTTGTACTATTATTATACAATACTTGATTGGTATACTGTAAATATGCAGTAGTTTTACCCATTGCAGTGAGATTTTTCAGTAGTTATGTTGTTGAATGTGTTTATTTTGAAGGCTTCAAAAAACAGTACTGTAATTCAGTGTAAAAGTTGATTGTGAAGAAAGAGATGAAATGCTAACCTGTTATTAAGAGATGCACCGATACAGTGGAGAAAGGCTTTGCCTCGTTGAGAATCTTCACAGACGCAGGGAAATCCTCCACCCTGATCTGCACTGAATACTGACCCGGAGACCCTCCGCCTTCATACAACAGTGTACACGTCTCCTTTCAGGGTTAAAACACATGGGTGTTTGGAAGAAACAAGAACTTGCAAAAAAAATAAAAACTCATGTAACTATTTAATTGAACTGAATATTTAAAGGTAAAGATGACTGACTTCATTAAGGCGCATAAATTCACCAAGGCCATTCTTCTCATAACGACAGCGAATCTCATCTCCATCCAAATCCATCACATTTACCGGGATTTCCTGAGGACAACCAGCTCTTATCCTGGTATACAGAGATAAAAGTTTCAAACACACAGTATGTTTTCTATTTCCGAAGTGTGTTGGCATGCAGGGCCTTACCTGACTGGAGGAGGCAGCGACACGTATGGAGGCTGGTTAACAGCGTTAGTGTCCGGTCGGACAGACAGATCTGCTCTTGAATATAGAGACACGACTCCATCGGATCTAAAGAGGGAACACAATATATTGGTGTGTTATATATTTCTTCACTCCACGGGTCATTTCTTGGGCCGTCTGTGATCACCAACCCGATCTGAAGAGTAGAGGTGTGGTTTTGAGGGATGGTGTTCTGCCACTGACGGAGGCACCAGCCGGGAGACGGGAAAAGCCCGGTCAGCGGAGACGAGCTGAGCTGGTCCCGGCAGTGCACTTCAGGACACACTTCATCCAGCGCTGGACAGGGCAAAGTGGACACCAGACTGTAATGAGCCCGGACCTGGACACAGAGACACCACACATTAACCCTATATACCGGCACAAATCCGCTTAAAACTCGCTGTCGGTCTTGGGGAACAACTTATTAAGATGGGTCGAGTTTGGTTTGTCCGAGTTTAAAGTCCTTTTCCAGTTATAGTTTGGTGAAGCTCTTTCTGACGGCTGTCGCTCTCTACACTCAGGGTTAGGAGACGTCTTTTACTCGCCTTGGGGGCCGAACCGTTGGCAGAAGCTATAAGAACAAATATCAATATTTGTGGGTTAATGTAGCAAATAACCAACATAAGATTACCCTGTGTGCCGACGATATTTTGGTTTTCATGGTGAATTCTGAATTTTAATGAACTAAAAAAAGAGATGGTGTTTGATCCCAGAGCAGTCGGTGCTCACAGTCCCGTTGTCATTCACGATACTCAAATCAAACAGGTGTGCTCTTGGCATCTACATTGATAACATGCTCACATCATGGCAGGTTCATGTTGACAAATTATATTCTAAACTCCAGCAAAGATTGTATGGTTTCAACATAAAAAAATCATGACTGTTTAATCGGGCTGTTCTGGAAAGTCTAATGAGCTATGGGATCTTTACAACATTATCAAGACTGCAATGAAAATTGTGGGATGGAAAGACTATCCATCGCCCCAAACATGATACGAGCAGTGTGTGTACAGAGGATACTAGCTGACCCTTTTCACATCCTTCATCCTGAATATGTGCTTCTGCCTTCAGGAGGTACAGACAGCCCAAATGTCGAATGAACCGCTTTAAAAACTTCTTTGTTCCCATTTATTGGACTTTTGAATGACAAGGACAAAAGCCTATAATTGTCTATGGTTTGGACTGATTACCTAACATTATCCATTGCTCTATAATTTTTATTTAGATTGATCTATTTTGATTCTGTGACTGATTTAGAATTTATTTTAATTGTATTTATTTTTACTTTTTAATGTCTTATTATTATTATTATGGAAATGAAGCATGCACTGTGCAAGACACATTTCCCTAAGGGTACAATAAAGTATACAACAACAACAACAAAAATAAAAATGTGAATACTGAAATATGAAATGTTTTTTTTTTTTTAACTGATACTTTTAATATGAAACTAAAATTGAAAATGCTATTAGTCAATTGTTAGTCAATGTCTTGAGGAGTGCGTTCAAACAATTTAGAAAAAACACCTGTTTTGCCTCAGAGACATGCAACACAATAAAAACTGATATTCTGGGGAAATCAAGCTAGTTTAATATTGCTTATTATATCATATAAATAAGACGGTAAATCATCCAGGGGATTTCTTACATTGAATTCTAACTGCTTTCCAAAAGGATCCATCAAAAGCATGCAGTGTCAAGGTGTTTTTCATTGCATTTTGTACATTGAGTAATAATTCATAACTTCATCTTGCATGTCGTAAAAACTAAAATTCATCAAATTCATATTATCAGATGCTACATATCATCACTGCACTCACATTCCAGAGTGAACCATAAACTGAGGAAATAAATGAGTCCTGAATCAGAGGCTTTAAATCATGACACATAGGACAAGATGTCTCTTAAAGATTGAAACTGTTGCTGTAATGATGAATGAATCTCACCTGTTCGGATCCGTCCTGGTCAAGCACCTCAACACTGACGGCGGCGCTGATGATGGATCCGGCAGTGATGTGAGGCAGTGAAAGCACACACACCATCAGAGTCCACACACCGGCACAAGCCATCGCTACACACGCCGGAAGCAAGATGACAACCGTTCAGATTAATCTTTGTAAATTTAGGATACAAGTCAGTCCATTTTTTTATTAGTCTATGAACATACTCTGTGGAATTGTGTCTTATCATCATGATAAACTCATTTGCACATGCTAAACCCTAAATGTTTTCTTTAAATTTCACAACAGCTTGTTTAAAGGTCAAGTTAGGCTTCAACTGTCTCTGGATTCGCCGTACTTACTCCTAAAACTAATCTCTGGCATGATTGTGAAAGAATCAGACGTACCAAAAGCCTCCTGATGTCCCGATGTCTTCAGAAAGATTCCCTCCGTGATTTATCAGGAACTGGGAAAATCTGGGTAGATTAGACAACGTTCAGAACTCAAGAGTGAAACATCTCGTTTCCTGGCATCAATGTGAAAGTAAAATGTTGTAAGAAAGGATGCCAAACTGGCTTGGTGAGAATTGTTAAAGCATTTGGGTCTTTTGTTTAAAGATTACATGTCAAGGAGTGTGAATACCAGGAACAGACTGAGTTTAATAAAGCAGAACAAGAAAAAAACAATCACATATCCTCATTCATTCGAGACACAGAAATCACATCTGCTTACGGCCAGCAAAACGAGAACATGTATGAGGAAAACACATCTACCAGCCGGGAAGCCGTTTGTTCTTGTTGAACACTCGAGCTCATGTTTCAGATCAGCCGGTTTCGGCCTCACACGCACCGTGCTATGTCTCTTAAGTGTCTTAGACTACTTTCTTAATCAATTTCCCACCGAGTTTAAAGTTAGCTGTTTTCTGTAGTAGATTTTTATGAGTATATATGTCTTTAGCGACATGATTTTAGCATTTATGGGCGGTAGAAATTTAATTGCCTTCTGGATCAAAAAACTGTTGGTCGGTCTTTTACTTTCCATACAATCAACAGCTCTATTAGGAGCAATAATAGAATAATAGATTATTTCCTCTGTTCCGAACACGGCTGTCACCAAATGTTTTTCTTAGGTTTATATGGCTCTCACTAAATACCAGGAGTTTGAAAATTTAAATCTACTATTTAGATAAATTGATATTTTAACATGTATTATAAACATCGTGTAAAATTATAATTACCATCTGAATGAAGCTTTTAATTTGAATCAAATCAGCATATTGTCATTCTTCTGGTTCGTCTCCACTGAAGCCTGGAGTTTCCACTGTGTTAGTTTCTCTCACAACCCAAAGACATACAGCTGATGCTTGTGAGTGTGTGTGTGTGTGCGTGTCCTGTGATCCGTGCAGGTGTTTCGCCTCATCTGTCCTGAGACACTGGATTATATAACTTATTACAATCCAAACTATGTCTAATGCTGCAGTTCCAACAAAGAAAGTGATATTTAATTTACACCATACGAATAATTATGCTATTCATGTTTCTAAATGATACTGAGGACTCTTACCAAAAAGCTAATTGAATAAACTAAGGGTAACACGACTGGTTTCAACCAAAAAGTAATTGAGTGTTGTATAACTCTGACAGAAATGCAATGATGTCAAGGCTATAATGTGATTGGTTGTGAAAGCACATGTGATCTAAGTCAGCCATTACACTTATCAATGGTAGACCCGAGTAGAACAAGACCATATCTGAAAACACACGCTTGTAAACTGCCCTTGTGGTCTACAAATCTATTTACACTCTAAACCTTGTGCTGAAGTTAAAGAGACGTCTTGATTTCAGAGCTAATGATCTGATTGAGGCCATTAGACCAAACAAATTAAAGAGAGAGAGAGAGAAACCTTACATAAGCTTTCAGAAAACTGGAATCAGGCACTTCGATGAAGAAAGATGTTTTAATGACAGATAGGAGATCCACATTTTTCATCCTCAGAACGTGTGGGTTGCTGGATAGAAAATAATGATGCACATTCCCATGTGAAATTATAGAAATAGAAATGGTTGACAAACTACTGAAGCTACATCCAACTTCAAAGCCATTGGTCCTACAGCAAACACCACATCTGCTGGGAGTTAGTCTGGGTTTAGTTTAATCTGAGCACTCCATTAGTATCAGTTTTCTATTAAAATGTGCATGACTTATAAACCGCAGGCTGTTTTATTCTTAAGATTGGTCACAGCCAAGAGTGCAGCGAAACCAGCCAATCAGGAGGTCAGATCGGGAGTGAAGGGGTTGGTCCTCTGAAGCGTCTCCCTCTTCACTACTTTCCATTCTTCACATTAAACATCCTCTCCTGAAACAAATAGGAAAGAAAATTATGCTGCTAATGCTGAGGCCAACATCACCTGAAGTACATGTAAACATCCATGTTTAATATGGTCCCTCATCATTGGGTTAAAAAACCTCCTAATATAGCAAGATAACAGACGGCCAACAGTCATAAAAGCAGCACATTTAACAAACAAACATGCATCGTTTCTGTATTCGATGACAAACAGAAACACCCCCAGACTCAAATAAAGGAAAACCGTAGGAAGAGCGGATAAAAGTGTGTATCTGCACCTTGATCATGGCCTCCAGCTTCACGGCGTCGGCAGCAAACTTGCGGATCCCGTCAGACAGTTTCTCCACGGCCATCCGGTCCTCGTTGTGGAGCCAGCGGAAACTCTTCTCATCCAGGTGGACCTTCTCCAGATCACAGTCCTTCGCTGGAAACAAGATCACGCTCGTAAATGTGTGTGTGTGTGTGTGTGTGTGTACTACACTGACGTGAGGGAACACCTGACTGTGGTGTGTGTGTGTGTGTGTGTGTGTGTGTGTGTGTGTGTACTACACTGACGTGAGGGAACACCTGACTGTGTGTGTGTGTGTGTGTGTGTGTGTGTGTGTACTACACTGACGTGAGGGAACACCTGACTGTGGTGTGTGTGTGTGTGTGTGTGTGTGTGTACTACACTGACGTGAGGGAACACCTGACTGTGGTGTGTGTGTGTGTGTGTGTCTCACCTCCCTGTGGCGCGAGGGAACACTTGACTGCGCTGTTACGTGTGTGTGTTGTGTGTGTGTGTGTGTGTGTGTGTGTGTGTACTACACTGACGTGAGGGAACACCTGACTGTGGTGTGTGTGTGTGTGTGTGTGTGTCTCACCTCCCTGTGGCGTGAGGGAACACTTGACTGCGCTGTTGTGTGTGTGTGTGTGTGTTGTGTGTGTGTGTGTGTGTGTGTGTGTGTGTGTGTGTGCTCACCTCCCTGTGGCGTGAGGGAACACTTGACTGCGCTGTTGTGTGTGTGTGTGTGTGTGTGTGTGTGTGTGCTCACCTCCCTGTGGCGTGAGGGAACACTTGACTGCGCTGTGGTCTTGACTCAGTTCACCCAGAAGCCCAGGAGAGATGGTGAGGAGATCACAGCCGGCGAGCGCCTTCACTTCCCCCGTGTTCCTGAAGGAGGCGCCCATCACCACCGTCCTGTAGTTGAACTTCTTGTAGTAGTTGTAGATCTTGGTGACACTCTGCACACCTGAGAGAGAGACAGAAGCGTGGCCAGTGGAGTGACCAGAGACACACATGTAGGACGCTACGCAGGAGTTTAGCACGGACAGCCTTAAAACGGCACATGAAAGGACAGAAATCTGCAGAAACGCGGTCACATGCCGGACGCGTCTAAAGCACACGCTTTATATGAGGAAATATCACAGCATCCATCGCTTTCTCAAATCTTTCCATTTATGTGCTGTCGGACCATTCATTTTTTTCTCAAGCCAAACTCGTTACGGTCACTTTGCCCGCTGTCTGTGTGGAGATTAGATGGAGCGTTTCAGACTGTTGCGGTGATCTCGAGCAGGCAAACACAGAGAGAGGCCTGGCCTGCCGGCGAGAGGTCTGAAGACGCACGTTAGGGTTAGTGCCAGTGATCGGTAATCCGATCATGCCAGTTTGTGCTTTTTGCTGTGATATTTAGACATCAACATCACAAGATGTTGAATGTTCCTCTCTGAACTATGATCTGAAAACATACCTGGGTCTTCATGGGGCTCGTAGTTTTTGTGGTCTGTGTTTTCCTTGTACCAGTCCAGGATTCGTCCCACGAACGGGGAGATGAGTGTGACGCGGGCCTCGGCACATGCCACCGCCTGGGCGAAGGAAAACAGCAGAGTCATGTTGCAATGGATCCCGTGTTTCTCCTCCAACTCTCTGACAAACAGTCAAACACACACACACACACAGACATCAGCCGACTTGCTCTCAACCCGTTTATTATTAATACAAGTGCATTAGCTTTCACACCAAGTGAGCGGACATCAAGACAAACACAACGGAGCAACAGTGTGTAACACCATCATCTTATAAGCTGTAGTGAACACACTCACAGTCCGGCCTGGATGCCCTCCCACGTGGAGGAGAGTTTGATGAGAATGCGCTCTTTAGCGACCCCTGCCTCCTCGTAGAGAGAGATGAGCCTTCGGGCACGAGACACCATCGCCTCTTTATCAAACGACAGCCTGGAATCAAACATCACCTGCCATCAAGCAGCATCTCATGACAAAAACACTATTCATTTGATGCCTCCAAGTCGGTACCAGATGCTACCGTAAAAATCATCAAATGGATGTTTGTGCAGTAACACTTTAATGACTTTCATTAATAAACATTATGTAATGCCCAACAGATCATTACTTCATACACATTCATAAAGCTAGAAATAAGATAAATAAAATAATGAGCTTCCTAAAGTTTACTAATAAACTTAACACATTACAATGATTAACAGATCATTATTTCATGCTTACAAATGTCACTATCTAGCAACAAATCTAGTACAACGATTAAAAGCTTATTTGTTAATGTACATTTGAATGCTAAAAAGTGTCATTCATTATATCTAATGCATTTTTAGGAAGAATTTAATGCTTCTGTTTGCGGAAAAGAAGATTTGTCGATGTTTGAAGCTTCATGAAGCAGCGTTTCGGTGTCAGTCTTAAAGCGGCGCGTGCCGGGGAGAAGTTGGGACATGTAATATTCAACTATATCATTGATCTGTCTTACTTAAGGTGGACGATGACGCAATTTTCTTCTAGAATCAAACTTTGTTGAATTATTTTCGTTATCACTGTGAAGCTGCTTTGATGCAACCTGTATTGAACAAAGCACTATATAAACAAAGGTGACTTGACAAGAGAAAGTGTCGACGCCACGTGATGAATGCATCCGAGTCCAACGAAAGCGATTGGAGATCAGCCGGAGGACTCGGCCAGAGCCACAACAAATATAAGACCATATCGGACTCAGCCAGCCCAGCTTCTCCAGAGCGAATCCACGAGCTCTAATGACGACACAGCGGGTCCACGATTGGCCGAATCCACGAGCTCTAATGACGACACAGCGGGTCCACGATTGGCCGAATCCACGAGCTCTAATGACGACACAGCGGGTCCACGATTGGCCGAATCCACGAGCTCTAATGACGACACAGCGGGTCCACGATTGGCCGAATCCACGAGCTCTGAGGGCCTCATTTATAAACGTTGCGTACGCTGCCCTCTACGCAAAAATTGGTATTTATATTGATGCCGCTAGTGTGTGCAGATCATGTGGCATCACCCAATTCTTACCTGGCATCGACTTCAGTGGAGACCCGGCCTGGAACCTTCTTCAGGATTTCCAGACCAAAGCTTACGAACAGCTTGTCCATGGCACATGTCACCTGCTCTTCCTCAGTCCTACAATTGTATAATGTATATTAGATCTGTAAGAAACTATACAACAGGTCCACAACAGTCCCCGTTTCTAGCACCCATTCAAAGCCAGCGCAGTGAATCCTGCCCACGGTCAGAGGAAAGGACAGGCATGTTCTTACCCGCCGTTAGCCATGGCGTGTTTTATGGCCTGGTCCACCAGGTGCTGGTAGCTGGGCATCTTAGCGGCGGCCAGAATGAGCGACGGGTTAGTCGTGGCGTCCTGAGGCTTGTACTCGTCGATCGCTTTGAGGGGAAACATGACAGATTAAAGCAACAGTGGACCTGATCTCCTGTGCTCACAAACAGCAGCAAATGATAACAGGAGATGATGATATATTGACCATATATTGACATTAAAAGAAGCTGATATCCGTGTCTGTTAGGTCATTTAAAAGGAGTGTGATCATGGCTGGTGCAACAAAGGATTTCTGGTTCAAAACATTTAACGTTACATACAGTGTGACATCTTTAGACTAGTAACTGATATGGACTCATTGTACAGCATCTTTGGCAACAAATATGATTTTGGAGAACTGTCAACTAAAATCTAGTTGTTCAGGTTTGAGGCTTCTGAGCCGGTGAATAGGAGACGAGTAATGATGAAACACACAAACAGACAATAGGCGAATTCACACCGTAATCCTTTAGCACATAATCACTTCGTGAGTTTTACTGTGCAAGATTTACCCTGCGCTAGCCGAGACAGTCAGCGGTCGGCCAGAATCTGATCATCTCACTCACTCACTCACTGATCATCATGACAATGCAGAAAGACAAAGAGGAGTTTAATGCAATGCTTGTCCTTGTGTAAAAACAAACATTGAAATCACTGATCGGCAGTGATGAGTTTCACAAGACAGTCTTAGGCAACAGAATCTGATGCAAGTTACAGCCACCCGACTCGTCCAACACTGAATACTGTGGACTTCATCCCTCATTCTGTGTCCTGGACACGTTCTGTATGAATGTACTGGACTCAATGGCCAACCACAGGTGTTTAAGAGTCAGTTCAACAGCGCTCAAATTCTAGAGGGAAATGCTGGTATTAGTTACATTCTGGTACCGAAGTCTGAACTTTGGCCAACACTAGAC